CTGCGAACACCCCCGCATTATATGCGTGGGGGCTGAAGCCAACGACTGCCATCTTTCAGGTTATACACATATACATTGACGGCCGCACAGGAGGTATCCTAATTCTTGAAAGCACAAGTATAAAAAGCTTTTATATTCCATCAAAACATTGTTGTACAAACAGTACATGTTATTCGAACATAACATCCTTCGAGCACTGCATCTCTATTAAACGAGCGCCCTGCAAAACTTCCTCAAAATAGTGCTCGACAGGTACTCGGCTTTCGTCCGAATCCTGGGATGCAACAACACTAGCCTTCATCTCCGCCCAGTATGTCTTGACACGGGCAAGAGCCATCTGTGCACCCTCTATGCACGTTGACCTCTTCATTGCATCAATATGTGGCACCGCATCAAGGAACTGCTGCAGAAAGCTAAAATAACTCTTCGTCTCGGGCCCTTTCGGCCACAGATGACTCACGACATGCTTCATGACGAGTCCGGATAACCTGTTCAGCTCCGCCCATGCGGCCAAACGATCGGATACCGAAAGTGGACGCTCTGGATTGTGGAACTGTGACCAAAAAAGTTCTTCCAATTCGTGGTCATTTAGACCCCGGAAGTGTTCGGTCGCGTCCGCGGCACTCGCCGCCAAATCCAGATAAGTGTTCGCCGCACTCCACTTCCGGTCCAACGGAGCATACTTAGGATCCCCGAACTTCATTCGCAGCATATAGGGCTTTCCAGCCGTGATATCTCCGGCCTGACGTAGCTCCTCCTTCATAGCTATCATTGCAGAGCGAGTGTCCTTGGCCTCGGCGGTGACCTTTTCTAGGTCCTTCTATGCCACTCTATCTTCTTTTTAAAGAAGCTTGCAACGGTCGGCATCATTCTTCAATTTTACAGCCACCTCGGCCATTTCCTTCTTGCTCTGGCAGTGAGCAGCATGTTCGGCTTTTAGCTCTTCAGCCGCCTTTAAGGCAGCCGCATCGCTTTTCCTGGCTTGCTCCTTGGCTCGGGCAAGTTCCGCCCGAAGGTTCTCCATGGCAGCGGCACCATCTGCATTAAGCACACATGTTATAAGGTACGAGCATCCAGATCCTCTTACCAGATGTCTTCGGAGACATTACATACCTTGTGCCTCGTCCAGCCGCTTATTGACAAGCGCGATGTCAGCATCGGCCACGTCAAATTGCCGCTTTAGCTCGGCAAATTCATCAGTCCGGCTAGCCACCGAACTCTTAGCCACCTACATAGGAAAGGCGACATATTATACCTGGGATTATGATCCTCCGCACGCCATCATTTTTGACAACGCACAGAGTCTCAGGGGCTACTATCTATACAGGGCGCATTTTATATATGCGGATCTGTCAAAAGGTACATCATTTCACGTACCTCAAAACCTATCAGTAAACTCCTGGCGGCCTCGTACAATCCGCTTTCCACGGATGAAATCCTTCTAATCACCGTGTTCATCAACACACGGTGTTCTTCTGAGATAGACACTCGCCCGAGCAGATCCTTCAGCTCCTCCGACCATGCACCGGACGGTGCCGGACTCGTCCGAAGACCTGTTTCGAAGGCCGGATTCAGAGAAACCCTCCGAGACGACACCTTGAGGTCGCCCACCTCGCAAGACGGTACAGCTGGGGGAGGCGTTCCGCTCTCCATCATCTCCGGACGAAGATCCCCTGAAGATGAGCTCTGCTAAGAAGGGTTGAGATCCGAACTGCAAGGTAAAATTTCGGTTACCTTCCTCAGAAATAAAACAGGGATGTCACTCATTTTAAAACCGCTCTCTTTACTTATGGCTCATTGGAGAGCTGATCCCCTTGGGGGCGCAATGCGGCCGGGGCACCCTCCGGCGCCGGACCCTCTGACGAAGATTTCTTCCCTCGCTTTGAGGCCATCGCCTCCGGGTCTTCAGAGGCGGTCCTTTTCTTTCCCTGGTTAGGGGAATTCTCGATTCCTCCTTTCCTGTCAGCCTCCTTCGCGGAGGCGGTAGCTTCTTGGTTCCCCTCTTCGCCTTCTTCTGAAGGCGCAACCTCCAGCATCTCGGTTAACACGGGATCCGGCGTGGTCTCAGGGAGGGGGGTCGGACACCTGATAAGCTTTGCTTTCGCTATCCGTTCCTGTTTGAAGGATAGCTCTTTTAAGGGCAATTTTATGATAAACATACGGGTAGCGTGTCCGGGTACAAGGCTACTTACTTGAGTGTCTGGGCGATTGCAGCTCAGACCTGCGTCCTCGGACGAGTCCGGACACATTGCTTGTGATCCGAAGAACAATTTATACATCTACATGGGCATCGTGTCCATTAAATGTTAGAGGACTCGCGGTCCTTCCGGATTAAACTCCCACAGGCGGAGGAGGCGACGTTTGCAGGGCAGTATGCGGCGAATCAGCATGACCTGCGCCACTACAGCCAAATTGATATCTCTTTCTAGGAGATCTTGAATGCGGTCCTGCAGCAAGGGCACGTCCTTGGACGGCCCCCAGTTAAGCCCTTTATTGACCCATGACGCTAGCCGTGATGGGGGACCCGAGCGAAAAGCGGGTGGCGCCACCCATGTGGTGCCCCTGGGAGCTGTGATGTAAAACCACTCTCGTTGCCATAAGCCGAACTCATCTTGAAAAGAGCCCTCGGGCCATGGAGCATCGACAATCTTGCTTATAATAGCACCTCCGCACTCAGCATGCTGCCCCTCGATTATCTTCGGTTCTACCTCGAAGGTCTTAAGCCACAGTCCAAAGTGAGGAGTAATATGGAGGAAGGCCTCACACACGACAATAAACGATGAGATTTGGAGGATGGACTCCGGAGCTAAGTCGTGAAATTCCAGCCCGTAATAAAACATGAGCCCCCTCACAAAGGGATCGATCGGGAAGCCTAACCCCCGAAGGAAGTGAGATGTGAACACCGCGCTCTCACCGGGCTGGGGAGTGGGAATAGCCTGCCCTTGAGCAGGCAGCCTATGCGAGATTTCGCCGGTTAGGTACCTGGCCTCTCTTAGCTTTCGCACGTCTTCTTCCGTAACGGAGGAAGGCATCCACCGGCCTTGGAGGTCGGATCCGGACATCATCGAAGGTCCGAAGCACCTGAATCTGGAGCTTTGGGTGTTGGAACTCGAGGCGAGAGGCGGATTTGATGGGATTGAAAGAAAGGAGTCGAGCCTTGGTCTCTTTATAAAGAGGTTGAATACCAAGAGCCCTCCCCCCCCCCGTGACCGTTTGGGACTCACTTTCAATTAAGAAGTCATACCAATGGCACGGTTGGGTTACCCACGCCCGTATTAATGAGAATCCCGGAATAAGGGGACACGATCTCTGCTTTGACAAGACGTGCCAAGGGAATCGCCTCGCTAAACACGCTGGGGTGGGACAGTAAAACGAATAAAGGCTTGACCGTGGTGTGATGTCACACTACGGAATACGTCAGCAAATTAGATTTGTGTAAATATTATTCTCTCTACGGTGGTATGTGGAACTTATTTTTACAGAGCCGGAGACTATCCTTGTGTTCAAACATCTTCTATGAAGTATTCGGAGGAGGAACCCGCCTTGCAATGCCGAAGACAATTTGCGTGCCGGACTCGTCGTCATTGAAGCCTGGTTCAGGGGCTACTGAGGGAGTCCTGGATTAGGGGGTGTCCGGATGGCCGGACTATGACCTTTGGTCGGACTCCCGGACTATGAAGATACAAGATTGAAGATTTCGTCCCGTGTCCGGATGGGACTTTTCTTGGCGTGGAAGGCAAGCTTGGCGATACGGATATGTAGATCTCCTCCCATTGTAACCGACTCTGTGTAACCCTAACCCTCCCTGGTGTCTATATAAACCGGAGGGTCTTAGTCTTTAGGACGAACACCAATCATACCATAGGCTAGCTTCTATGGTTTAGCCTCTCTGATCTCGTGGTAGATCTACTCTTGTACTTCCCATATCATCAATATTAATCAAGCAGGAGTAGGTTTTTACCTCTATCGAGAGGGCCCGAACCTGGGTAAAAACATCGTGTTCCTTGTCTCTTGTTACCATCCGCCTAGACGCACAGTTCGGGACCCCCTACCCGAGATCCGCCGGTTTTGACACCGACAGCGGGTGACACCATCGGGGCTCCATGTCCCTGGTCGCGACCTCCACCATGTTTGCAACAAGCACGCCCACCGCCACAGACGCCATCAGCACGCCCTTCACCGGTCTGCCGCTTCCTGAGCTTTTCCTTCTTTGCGGCCTTTGCTTTGTCGCGACGATTTTGCCGCGTCGCCGAGTTGATCTTTCGGGTGAGGGTGTTGTTGGGATCCTGCTGCACCTCCACCACCTCCAACTCCGGCATGCTATCGTGTGGTTCCATGCGTCAGCGGCGGGAGGGGGGAAAAGAGTGGGAAAAAGGGTGGAGAGCAGTGGGATGGAGGAAGAGAGTGGGGATTTTGTCGAGGAAACAGGGCGGGCAGCTATAAAAGCGCGGGCTCCGTCTTCCTTTTAGGTGGGTCATGGGTGTAAGAGTCCGACGTGTCTTGTGTCTGAACTCCTACAAACCTATATTTGGTTCCTGTTTATGGAAAAGATATGGTTCGGATTGCTCAGGGACCGATACAAACCCGTTTTGTATGGCTTTCAGTGTCCGGACCACGCGGTCTGAAATGTATTTGAGCGGTTAAATGATGCAGTAATAAAAGTAAATAATATGTGCGTCCTTCGCCATGTGGATGTGGTGCTAGGCGGCTTTGCCGCAGCGCGTATTCATTGAGCAGTCCCTGCTTACCTAACCCAAGCAGCCAACGAAGCCGCGCACTTGGGGCTGGATCCACCCCGTCCCCACCCCGTCTCCCTCCGCCTCCAACGCTAACCTTCTGGAAAATTCCGCTAATCCAAGAAATTCTCGCCCCCCAACCCAACCCCCAACCAACCAACCAAACCCAACCGAAGAAGCCGAGCCGAACCCCACTCCGCCGATCAGCCGCTATGCGCTGAGGCCGAATCGCCGCAGCCCGAGGAGGAGAAGGGGGTGGAGGGGATGGAGGGGAGTGGCGGGTCCGCGTCGCTGCCGCCGTTCCTCACCAAGACGTACGAGATGGTGGACGAGCCGGCCACGGACGCGGTGGTGGCGTGGACGCCGTCCGGCACCAGCTTCGTCGTCTTGAGCCAGGCCGACTTCTGCCGGGATCTTCTCCCCAAGTACTTCAAGCACAACAACTTCTCCAGCTTTGTGCGCCAGCTCAACACCTACGTAAGGAGAACAACTTCACACCCACCCTCCCCCTCTCTCCTCCGCCCAATCTCTGTTCCGCCGCTGGAATTGGGGCCTGGCCGAAATGCGTGGCGGTTTCTTGTGCTGACATGTGAGGCTATGAGCCAAGGAGGTTGTGTGGGTTATCGTGGAATTCGGTTCAGTTGGGCAAATAATCTGCGATTTAGAACGAGTGCTTGTGATTTATTGCTCTTGTGATCCAAAATACACTTTATAGGTAGCTGCTTAGTGTGCCGGATTATGTAATTTGTCATTTTACTTGGCATACTTTTAAACAACAGAGGTCAACTCTTGATTTGTTCTATATGTGAAATTCAACTAACTTCGTTCAGTACTATCTCTTCTTGATCCCGTGGCTGTTTGACAAATAAAATCTACCACACTCACTTCCAATATACTTCCTCCGTTCCTAAATGCAAGTCTTTGTAAAGATTTCACTATGGACTACATACGGAGCAAAATGAGTGAATCCATACTCAAAATGCATCTATATACATCCGTATGTGGTTCATAGTGGAATCTCTACAAAGACTTATATTTAGGAACGGAGGGAGTAATTTGTTTCCCTTCTGTTGCAGTACATGATTTATTTTAGCCTTGGTAATGGTAATGCATGATACCTCTTATGCGAATGTGAGGCTATTCTAATATTTGTCACCTACTCGTTCTTATATAGGGCTTTAGGAAGGTAGATCCAGAACAATGGGAATTTGCAAATGAAGAATTCATACGAGACCAGCGGCATCGGTTGAAAAATATCCATAGACGCAAGCCAATATTCAGCCATTCATCACATACTCAGGGTGCCGGACCATTAGCTGATAGTGAAAGGAGGGACTATGACGAGGAAATTGAGAGGCTCAAGTGTGATAATGCATCACTGAAGTTACAGCTTGAAAGGAAGAAAACTGATATGGAGAGTAAAATGAAGGCTTTGGAAGACAAACTATTTGCTATCGAGGATCAGCAGAAAAATCTTATATCTTATGTCAGAGAAATTGTGAATGCACCTGGATTTTTTTCTAGCTTCGTAGAACAATCTGATCATCAGGGAAAGAAGAGGAGACTGCCTAAACCAATTTCATTCCATGAGGATACAAGTACTCAGGGGAACCAGATTATGCATTGTGACTTGGTCAACTCACCAACTCATGAACTTTTTAGGGCATCATTTGACAAAATGGAATCATCCTTAAATTCCTTGGAGAATTTCTTCAAAGAAGCGAGCGAGGCATTTCGTGATGATGTTTCATATGATGGTGATGTCCCAGGTCATTCTTCAGCTGTTGTTCTTACAGAGCTCCATTCATCTGCGGAGAGTGAGCCCCTCCATTCATCTGCGGAGAGTGAGCCCCATGAGCAATCACCTCCGTCCATGATGCATACTTGTTCAGCTGGTGTAGGAGATTCACACTCTTCTCGCGATATAGCAGAGTCCGCCAGCTGTCCAGAGAGTCCTCCGCTTCCCGAAGCTCATTCTCGTGCAGATTCACGAGCTAAGGTCTCCGAGATAGATGTCAATTTGGAACCTGCTGTTACAGAAACTGGTCCATCGAGAGATCAACAACCCACCCAAGACCCTCCTGCTGATGCAAATGATGGATTTTGGCAGCAGTTTCTTACCGAGCAGCCTGGGTTGTCCCATGCACACCAGGAGGCCCAATCAGAACGGCGAGACAGAGAAGCAAATCAAACAACAGCAGGAGACCGCGGAAGTTTTTGGTGGGGCAAGAGCGTCGAACAGATGACAGAAAAACTGGGGCATCTCACCTCAGCTGAGAAAACCTGAGTATGTATTTCTCATTTCTTGTAGCTGAAAAATGACCAGTACAGAAACATTAGGACGATGGCACCTCCCAGTGAGATATGCCTACTAACATTTACTTTGCAGTGTATCATAATTGCGTGCTTAGATTGTTGCAGACTATGTGCTACTACCTTGATATACGTTCATATTTTGTTAGCTACACGTTCAGACACCATTGTCAATGACTCGTGATATTTTTCAGATTTGTGGTTCTTTTGTGACAACTACGCGTTGCAGTTCAGAGCTGTTGCCTGTTGGAGGGTTTTTATTTTTATTTTTGTGCATGTTGCCAGCTATTTGAACCATGGTCAAGAATTTCCTTGTTTGTGAAACATGAACCCTTGTTATTTCTTGCCGTAGTGGCTTCAGATGATCAATGATATTATGTCCATGGTTCATTTGATTTCTTGCGTTGTGTCATCGCCATCAACGTTTGCTGCTTGCCTGCTCCTGAGGCTTTTGTGCATGGCGCCTTTTGTCCATGGCGCCTTTTGTGCATCAAGATGTCCCTTGGCTGCTTTTCCCTGATGCTTCAGCAAATCTGCAGCTGCCTCGCCCTGGATTACGCAGGGTAGTAATAAAATCAGCAAAAGGATCCTTTGCTGCTTGCCTGCTCCTGTTGCTATGACTTGGCTCAAAACTGGGACCTGGCTCGCTGCCCCTGCCCTTCCCGTCATGCATATAGTCACTACAGTGTGAGGACTGGAGGAGAGATATTTTCAAGTCATCGACGTTTCCTGGCACTGGAAGCTTGCAAAATTTTACAGATGCATTGTAACACTCCGCTAGTTGCATGCATGGTCCTACGAAGAACTCTGGTCTCGAGTCCCTGTATCAAAGGGTAGAACAACCAGCTGCTCTGGCGGACATTTCTTTCGCTTCGATCCAAAGCATGGCAGACTTATTTGTGCTAACGCCGCGTGATACTTGCAAATTGTGAATCGTATCCGATCTTAAGCTATGCCTCCTTAGGGCATATTCAACGCTCGCTCACCCCAAAGTTTTCTCCCGCATCCGGCCGGAGCCGGTCATCCAACGCTACATGCAAACCTTTCAAAGCGTGGCTCAACCAAACTCGGAGGAAATTCATGCAGATAGGATGAAATTCATTACATTCCGAATATATTTTCACTAAAACCTACTCTAAATCTAATCTAAATGATTGCCGGCGTCCGCTCGGGCGTGAGCACCGCAAAAAGAAGCTCCGGCTCTGCCTTCGCAGTCTCCAGCTTTGCCTCGGCCTCCACCTCCACCTTCGCAGCGGCTAATCGGCCGACGAGGATCAGCCCGCCAAGCTTAGCTGCAACCGGGAGGGGGGGAAGCGGGCCTTCTTGGAACCCGAGCGTTGAAGACCTAGCATGCACTATTCTTCCTTGCTGCCGGCATCGTTGTTGGTATTGCTGCCAACCTCATCGCCGTCGTCGGAGTCGGGCATGTCGCGGGCGGAGCGGTAGGACTCGAGCAACGCCTCCTGCTCATCCACCTCCACGTCCGCCGTGATGCCGACGACGAGTAACTCCTCCGCGTTCCAGTGCTCATCGAGGAGGCGGATGTTGTAGGATTGATCGTCTTGCGCCTGCCAGAACCCCCTGCTCCTCATAATGTAGTGGGCACGAGCCTTGCCCATGGTGATGCCGGCATAGGCCGACGAAGACGGCGGCGCCTGCTCGTTGCCAGCCGCCTCCGTCATTGGCGCCGGCTCATCGTGGCCGCCTTCTGAAAGTGCAACTAATTCCCGGGTGGTTTTGGTAATTCATAACAACATATAGCTCATTGAACTAATATTCTTTCAAGATCAATGTTTCATAAAGTTCAATGGTTGGTATGGCGTGGTCTAGAGATGTGGACTCCTCAAAATGCTAAGGACACTTATTGCCAAAAGCTCAAGACTCTACATTTTCATTTTAGTGATCCAAGATCACATTGAGTCCATAGGAAAAGCCAATACTATTAAAAGGGGATGAGGTGTTGCTTAATGGCTTGTGCTCAAAATGCTTAGTGATATGCTCCAAAAACCCTCAACCACTTTCTCATTTCCACATATGTCCTAAACCTAAAGTCAAACTCGGCCCCACCGATTTGATCTATCTGGCGCCACCGAGTTCACTTGACATAGCCATATCCACAAACCCTAATCAGTTCGGTCTTACCGATAGGGATCTCGGTCTCACCGAGAAGGGATTGCAAACTCTCAGTTTCCCTTCATAACGTTTTGGTCTAACCGAAATGAGCGACCGGTCCCACCGAGTTCGCAGTGCAAACTCTCTGTTTCCTTTTCGTAATGTTTTGGTCTAACCGAGATGAGCGATCGGCCCCACCGAGTTTGCCTGATCAAGTCTCTGTTTGCTAATTACTGAAATCGGTCTCACCGAGTTCATGTGATCGGTCTCACCGAGATGAGATTTTGCCCTAACCCTAGCGCATCGGTCTCACCGAGTTGAGGTTGTCGGTCCCACCGAAAAGACTAACGTTCATATTTTGAACCAAGTCGGTCTCACCGAGTTTCATTATTCGGTCCCACCGAGTTTGGTAAATTGTGTGTAATGGTTAGATTTTGTGTGGAGGCTATATATACCCCTCCACCTTCTTTTCCATTTGAGAGAGAGCCATCAGAATGTGCCTACACTTTCACTACTCATTTTATGAGGAAGAACCACCTATTCATGTGTTGAGACCAAGACATTTCAATCCAACCACAAGAATCTTGATCTCTAGCCTTCCCCAAGTTGCTTTCCACTCAAATCATCTTTCCACCATAGCCAAATCTGTGAGAGAGAGTTGAGTGTTGGGGAGACTATCATTTGAAGCACAAGAGCAAGGAGTTCATCATCAACACATAATCTATTACCTTTTGAAGAGTGGTGTCTCCTAGATTGGTTATGTGTCACTTGGGAGCCTCCGTCAAGATTGTGGAGTTGAACCAAGGAGTTTGTAAGGGCAAGGAAATCGCCTACTTTGTGAAGATCTATCCAAGTGAGGCAAATCCTTCGTGGACGATGGCCATGGTGGGATAGACAAGGTTGCTTCTTTGTGGATCCTTCGTGGGTGGAGCCCTCGGTGGACTCGTGCAACCGTTACTCTTCGTGGGTTGAAGTCTCCATCAACGTGGATGTATGATAGCTCTAGCTATCAGAACCACGCCAAAAATCTCCGTGTCTACATTGCGTTTGTTCCCTCCAAACTCCTCCCCTTTACCTTCATATGCAATGATTTACATTCCGCTTCTATACTCTTAGAATTGCATGTGTAGGTTGTTTGCTTGACTTGTGCTTAGTTGCTAAAATCTGCCAAGACTTAAAAGTGGGAAAAGGCTAGATTTTTATTTGGTCAAGTAGTCTAATCACCACCCTCTAGACATACTTTCGATCCTACAAGTAGTATTAGAGCTTTGGTCTCCATTTGCCTTGATTCCAGAGCTTTGGTGATCATAACCTTGGTTTCACAACCTAGGAGAGTATGACGTCTAGCGAGGGAAATTACCACCGTAGAGGTCCTTACTTTGATGGCACTAATTTTGCTAGTTGGAAGCATAAGATGAAAATGCATATTCTTGGACATAACCCCGCCGTTTGGGCTATTGTGTGCATTGGTTTGCAAGGTGAATTCTTCGATGGGAGAGTACCAAATCGTGAAGCAACTGCGGAAGAGTTGAAGATGCTGCAATACAATGCTCAAGCTTGCGTGGATTGTGCCCCGAAGAATTCAACAAAATCAGCCGTCTTGAGTATGCAAAGGAAATTTGGGATACTTTGATTTATATGCATGAAGGTACCGAGTCCGTCAAGGAATCCAAGTTGGATGTGCTTCAAAGTCAACTTGACAAGTTCAGAATGAAGGATGGTGAAGATGTCGCTGAAATGTACTCTAGGCTTGCTCTCATCACAAATGAGATTGTCGGCTTAGGAAGTGAAGAGATGACTGACAGATTCATCATCAAGAAGATCCTAAGGGACTTGGATGGAAAATATGATACCGTGTGCACATTGATCCAAATGACGCCCAATTACAAATATCTCAAGCCAACGGAAGTAAATGGAAGAATTGTTGCTCACGAGATGTCACACAAGGATAAAGAAGAGCTTCACAACAAGTCTAGTGGTGCTTACAAAGCCTCATGTGATGCTCCTGCCAATCAAGTGAAAAAGAAGTCTTCAATGAGAAATCGAGCTTAATGGTGAAGAACTTCAACAAATTCTACAAGAGTAGAAGCAAAGAGAGAAGCTCCAAGTCAAGGTCCTACCATGACAAAAGATCTTCTAGTCGTGAGCGAACAATTGTGGAAGACCGGACACTACTCCAATGAGTGTATAGCTCCCTACAAGAGAAGACAAGACTCGCCTAAAATAAGAAGTAGAAGAGAAGAATCACCTCCAAGAGAGAGGAGTAGAGATGATCATTATGAACAAAGAACCTCTCGCACAAGCAAGGATTCGGAAAGGAAGGATAAGTTATCAAAGGGCTACACCAAACGAAGACATCAAGCTCATGTTGGTGAATGGGTATTCGGTTCTGACTCCGACCACCACTCCGAGAGAAGTTATCACTCCGACTCCGAATATACTCAACATGAAGCTGTTGTCGGTCTTGCACTTGTGTCAACCAACTCCTACGACATATTTGACTCACCAAATGAAGGAATGGAAGATGCTTCATGGCTAAAGGCCCCAAGGTGTCACACCCCGAGTATATTGATTTCAATAGTGATGAAGATGATTTGCTAGGTGATGATGAGTTACTTGTTGACAATGCTAGTGATGAGAACTATGATGAAACTGTTATTAATCATGCTAATCAAGATGAAACGAATGACAATGATAAGAAGGAGATTGAGCGTCTAACAAAAGAACTAAACACTCTTAAGTTAGCTCATGAAACTACTTTAGAAGATCATCGAGAACTTTTAAAAACCCATGAGAAGCTATGCTTCGAGAAGCTCAACCTAGAGCAAGAACATGGGTTCTTAAAAGCCATCAATGATGATC